AGGTTTTAGACACACACAGTTTGCATTGCTCATGAAATTTAAAGTGAAGGTTGTTTATAAGTAATTGGGAGATGAGCTTAGAAGAGTGGTCTTAACAAGCAGTGCAAATGTGGGAATTGCTAGCATGTTATTTGTGCTTACAGCTGTGTGTCTCATCAGATCAACTAGATAGAGTTTAGTGAAGAATGCCAGAACAGAACCCCAAGGAATTCAGCCATTTAAAGATCCAATATTGGAAGAGGAACAGCTAGTAGGGAAAAAATGAGATGAAGCAGCCAAGAGATAGAAAGAAAATCAGAAGAATGCTTTGTTACAGATACAGAGAGAGAAACGCTTTAAAGAAGAGTAGAGTTAGCCAGATTGAATGTTTATTTTATGAGTCACATCATGTGTTTGAAAATTTAACAGAGTGGGCCTCCCCGGTGGCGCAGCGGTTGAGCGCTGGGTTGCGAGGCTGCCCGCGGCCTCTGCAGCGCTGGTTTGATCCCCGGCTGCTCCCCGGCCACGGGAGGAGGGTCCCACATGGCGCGCAGACCTCTCCTGCCGCCCGCTGCTCCCCTCAGCAGTGTACTTCGGTCCTTCTGCCTGCTCTGCTCCCCGCTCTGGCTCTGGTGAATTCTCTCGCCCTCCCGCGCTTCTGACTGTGCCCAGTGCATGTATAAACAAACAAACAAACAAACAAACAAATAAAGCATGCCTCTATAAAAAAAATTAAAAAAAAAAATTAACAGAGCATGGTATAGTCCCCCCTGTCTTTAAAAAAAAAAAACAACAAACTTTCTACCCCACATCTACCTCCAGCTGCTCCTTTTCACTACATCCCTTTATGGAAAAAGGAATTGATGCCTACCTCCTTTTTCTATATTTCACTCCATATAGGCCTTCTTAGTACTCAACTCAAATTACTCTTGAAAAAGTCAGCAATAGCTGCCATTGTCAGATTCAATTTCACCTCTCTATGTCCTACTTAATCCGTTGGTAGTATTTGAATTGATTACTCCCTCTTTCTTGAAAAGCTGTTAATTCTCGTGATGCAGCGTAACACCTATGACTGCTGCATGTGACTCAGTTAAATTGATGTTTTAAAAAATGTAAATCCAGGGCCTCCCCTGGTGGCGCAGGCGATTGAGAGCCGCGCTGTGAAGCTGTCCGCAGCCTCTGCAGCGCCGGTTCGATCCCTGCCAGCCGGGAAGGGTCCCACATGGCGCGGCAAACCTCTTCTGTCTCGCGCGCTGCTCCCCTCAGCAGTGTATTTCATCAGTCTGCCTGTTCTGTTTCCCACTCTGACTCTGGTGAACCCTCTCACCCTCCTGCGAATCTGGCCTGTACTCCGGTTCTTGTATAAATAAATCAATAAATCTTTTTTTTTTTTTTTAAATGTAAATCCAGGGGCCTCCCTGGTGGCACAAAGGGGTTAGGTTTCAGCACTATGAAGCTATCAGCAGCCACTGCAGCATGAGTTCGATCCCAGCCAGGGAGCTAACCCACATGGTGCAGCAGACCTCTCCTGTCTCACCTGCTGCTCCTCTCAGCTGTGTGTTTCAGTCAGTCTGCCTGTTCTGTTCCCCACCTTGTCTCTGGTGAATCCGCTCATCACCATCCCCCCACACACACACTTCTGGCCTGTACCCCAGCTCTTGTATGCATAAATTTTTTTTTTAATGTAAATCCAGTTCCCTCCAGTCACATAGTGCTTCTCATCATATTCAGAATTAAACCCACATTCACAACCACGGCCTACAAAGCCCAAAGCCTTCTGACTCCTGTTCACCTCTCTAGCCACTTCTTATACCAAAATTGAAATTTATGCTGTTTCTTGAACCTTCCAAGTTCCTAAAGGCTATTATGCTTGCTATTCCTGCTGCCTAGAAAGTTCTTCACACATCTTTGCATAGTTCACTTCACATTAATTTGACCTTTACTCAGTTATAACTACCTTAGAGAGATCTTCCCAAACCACTCTAAAATAGTCAGCCACTGCCTGCCTGCCCCCTCAACAGCCTGTCAGTCTCACTCTGCTTTTGTTCATAGCACTTGTCATTTTGTGAATTGAGTTCTTGTTTATGAATATTGTGTGTCCTTCTCCCCTACCTCCCATTTCTTTTTTTTTTTTTTTTTTTTTTTTTTTTTTTTTATAGAGGCATGCTTTATTTATTTATTTATTTGTTTGTTTGTTTTGTTTATACAAGCACTGGGTATAGTCAGAAGCGCGGGAGGGTGAGAGAATTCACCAGAGCCAGAGCGGGGAGCAGAGCAGGCAGAAGGACCGAAGTACACTGCTGAGGGGAGCAGCGGGCGGCAGGAGAGGTCTACGCGCCATGTGGGACCCTCCTCCAGTGGCCGGGGAGCAGCCGGGGATCGAACCGGCGCCACAGAGGCTGCGGGCAGCTTCGCAACCCAGCGCTCAACCGCTGCGCCACCGGGGAGGCCCCTACCTCCCATTTCTTTCAGAATGTTGCCTCTGTGTCACTTGTATGCTTGATCACTGTTCTGTTCCAGTGCTTGGACCACTGCCTGGCATATAGTTGCTGATCCATAAATATTTTTTGAATTAATGATGCTAAGAAGTTGAGTCAGATGATAATGGGAATGTTTCCATTGATTATGACAATATAACATTTGTTGATTTCCTTCATGAGCAGTTTAAATGGAGCTCTCAGCATAGAAGTCAGAACAGAGTAGATTAAGGAGTATCTAGAGCTACGGAATTAGAGAAGACAGCTGTTATAAGAAGTTAACTGTGTAGAGAGACATGGGGCTGTTAGTAGGTGGAAGAAAGTGAAATAAGGTCAAGATGTCTGTTTTTGAGGTGACAATAATGGATGTACTCAAGAGCATATGTGACAGGATTAACCTTTACATGGGAAGGCTATGTCTTCCCTTTGAGCTGGACTTAAAATGATGAAGATAGTTACAAATTCATATGGGTCATATAATTTGCCATGGGAGCGGGAGAGTGGAGGAGGATGAGTCAACACCTGGTCAACTGCCATGAGAACAGAGGCCAAGTATTGGGTGGGAAGGAAACCTGATCCTGGGGAATGGAGGGAGGGTTGTTACATCTCTAAGCCAAGTGGGTTGTTTTAATTTATTTTCCTTTATTGAGGCAAGATTGGTTTACATCACTGTAGATGAAAAGGAGAATAGGTTCACACCACTTCGGATGTATGTTACTGCACTGCCCCTAGACCAAGCCAGGTGTTGCTGTAGTTGGGGTCATGGTAAAAGGTGGCTGTGGGAAGAGTTTTGTAGAAAAGAGCACCCAGCATGTTTTGATATGTGTTGCCTAAGGTTCTAATAATGTCGTCTTGTTTTAATTGAGAGCATTGTTCTCTGTGCCAGGAAACCATTTGGTGTATACTAGGAAAATTGTCCTTTTCCCTTACTCTCTCATTTCCTCTGGATGACTGGGAGAGAGTACATTGTTGGCCCTGCATATCCAACTTGCCATTGGGATTGGATGTGTTCATGCTTTCAAACACTTGAGTGTTGTTTTTGTTATGTTTTAGTATATTTATATACTAAATAGTATATTTATATTTAGTATATTATAGTAGTATATAATAGTATATAGTATATATAGTATATAATAGTATATTTATATTTCCCTGCTTCCCCTCTAATAGCTGCGAAGTGATGTTGGGAAGTTCTCTCTCTCTCATACACATTCTCACTTAGTTAATGTCCTGCCATCTACAGAATAAGCCCTCCTTCCTCTTTCTCTGAGCAGCCAACTTGAGCCTCCTTGGCACACAATAGTAATGACATGTTTTGTTTTCTTGATTTCAGATGAGACACCGATTATTGCAGTGATGGTGGCCCTATCTTCTCTGTTAGTGATCGTGTTTATTATCATAGTTCTGTACATGTTAAGGTGAGCATACTAATGCTTCTGCATTTTCTGGACTCTTTCATTACTCCCAAGGTTGCAGTAAGCCCACCCAGTCCAGAAGACATAGTCTAAGAACAATGAATAACAGAGAAGGGGAATGGCTCAGAATAGTGCTCAGATTAAAATTCTTAGAAATGGCTTGAAAGTTCTGCATAGTCTTCCTTAAGACTCAGCCCCTACCCTTTTCTTCCATCTGTCCACCCCCAATCCCCCAATTCCAGTTCACTATAAAGCCCAGGATGGTGGTTTGGGAGGTTAAGAGAAGAAACCATAGTCTGTGTTACTATGGACATGTATTTCAAGGTCATCAGATGTAACCCTATTAAAACAAGCCCATAAAAGTGCCCCAATGTAGATTATGTGCTCAACAAAGGCCTACTTTTTACCTACTTGGGACTTTGTCCCAACCCCCTCTAAGGGTTTATCCTAAGGCTTACTGAGCTGAACCATGTGAGTTGCAGGATTCTTCTTTCTGACTTTTTTCCAGGGTCCTCTAGAAATTACTACTCAAGCAGGGAACAAAAGCAAGGAAGGGGAGATCCAAGGGAGAAAAGAGGGAGATGCATTTGTTATCTTCCTGCTGAAGTTACTAACTCTAACTGATTGGGTTTAGCTCTGCTCCTATCTTTGACTTAATTTGCTCTGTATTCCCTCTGTTCTTCTGGAGGAATAAAGAGAGAGAAAGTAACAGTTTGGCATGTGTCTCCACCATTCTGTAGGAGACCTCTCACCAGATCTCACTGCAGTACCCACTCAGTCTGAAGCTCTAGGTTGCACTGGGGAGATACCAGGATTTTTGTTTGATGCAGATCTTCCTGTCTTCCCTTACTATATTCTACCCACTGCTCCCTTTTCACGTGGTGGTTATGATCTCCGGTGGGTCCTGGAACAGGAGCTGCTCAGAGAAGCCATATAAGTCAGACTATTCTGTTGGTGTTACCTGGGTTGGATTCTGATGTGCTGAGGGTGATCATGAACATTCTGAGCTCATTCACCATGTAATGGAGATTCCCCAGCATGTGAAGGAAATGCCTCTAAATGAGTCTGTTTATTTGATAAAGGAAATTTAGAAAAGCTGAATTGGTAAGTGTAAATACAAGTGCAATGACTGACCTCTTCTGTTTTTATTTTTTCACTATGACCTTTCCTCATTAGATTTAAGAAATATAAGCAAGCTGGGAGCCATTCCAATTCTTTCCGCTTATCCAATGGCCGCACTGAGGATGTGGGTAAGCCACCCCGTAATGGCATGGGGAACCTTGATAGAGAAGAAAATCAAGAAATTAGCAGCTTCTTTATCCTAAAAAGGAAAAAAAGACTTGAAGAGGGAAGCCCTAGCTCTTTGAGGCCTGATCTTGAGGTGGAAACCCCCCCCCCTACCCCCAGTTTAGTATCCAGAGAAGGGTGTGTTACTACAGAGCACCTGACCAGCCTCCTTTTGTGAACTGCAGAGCCCCAGAGTGTACCGCTTCTGGCCAGATCCCCAAGCACCAACAGGAAGTACCCACCCCTGCCCGTGGACAAGCTGGAAGAGGAGATTAATCGGAGGATGGCCGATGACAATAAACTCTTCAGGGAAGAATTCAATGTGAGTTCTTGTTGAGGCTGGTCTGTCAGCAGGGAGGAAAGCAGACCTAAGGTCAAACCTTTTGAGTCATGGCATAGAAAACAGGTTTCTAATGGGTTAAGAGGTGAGAAATTTTTTGCAAAATTCATCTTATTCCTTTCCTATGTGCTCATGGACAGGAAGTGAAAAACAATTTACTTCACTAATCTACCTACCCATCCATCCATCCATCCATCCATCCATTATCACATCTGTTACTTTGTTTAATGAATACTTACCAAGCATCTACTGTATACCAGCTAGTATTCTAGGTGCTAGGAATTTAATGGGGAGCAAAAACTGATAACAGTTTTTGCACTCAGGGAACTTGCTGTCCAGAAAGGAAACCCCCACAAACAAGAACAAAAATAAGTTCAGACAGCAATTACAGGACATGAAGGACTGCTACACACTTGTAGGAGTCTATGTTAAAAGAGCTGATCATTAGGGTCTGGAACAGGGTTTGGAAAGAGTCTTCAGTCAACAATAGGGATAGATCATTGTAGGAAATGAGGACCATGGCAAACTGTAGATCACAGGCTTCACCTTAGATATTTAGATTAGTATTTTTTATAGCTCCCTCAAGGAAGCAGAACCTGTTTATGAATCTACCATTTGGTGATTCCAGCTCACCAGTTTGACCCTACATCTAGAACTTCCTTAAAGAAATGATGTTTTAACCAAAACCTAATTGTAGGCAAGCACAGCAGGGAAAGTGGGATAGGGAACATTCCAGGAACATGAGCATGAGCAAACTATAAGTAGGGAGGGTTGGTGAGAAAAGGGCACATCCAAAAAAATTACAGTAGGCCCATATGTGCGTGAAGGATAGAGATCAAAGGGAGTAATAAGACATGAAACTATGGGAGAAGACTGGACCAGGTGATAGATCTTGCAGATTGTCATGAGAGAAGTGGAAAGCCAACCAGATTTGTATTTTGAAAAGTTGTTTCTGGCAGCTGTAATGAAGAATAGCCTGTGGGGAGACCAGGATAAGATACAGGGAATACAGTTAGGGACTGTAATTGTTGTTAAGACTAGAGGTGCTGGTAGATTAACCTCAGGTAGTAATGATTAGGGGGACGGGGGTGGATTTGAGGACATAGACAAATAGGTCCAAAATTGGTTGATGCATCAACTTGAGCATTGTTAAACTTTTTCTCCTTTCTACCTTTCCACCCAGCCATCTGTCAGCTTTGTCCCTTAGGCTAAATAACTGTTACAGTTATGATGGAAAAAAGATTGTTTCTTCCTGTGTGTCTTCTTTAATCAGTGAGGAACGCTTTCCCCAAAGCTCTGGGGACTTCCCTTGTCACATGCTCCTTAAACCAGTCAAAAGCAAGGGAAAAATGGTATTACTGCAACTGGCTGAGACCAATCCAGATTAACCCTGACTCATGCTTGAATAGGTGGACAACTGCACAGAATGGGAACTGGCTCACATGGGACCGAGGGGGATGGGAAGAATGGTTATTGGATGGCAGATACCACTTTTATCTGCTACACTGCTGAGTAGCTTGCAGGAGTGGAGTATGAAGAGATTAGTTAGATTTACACTCTGCCATGTGGACAATAGATGGAATGGAAGTAAGGGTTGAAGCAAGAGACCATTTACCTGGCAGGAGTTCATGAAATGCAGTTGACCCTGAACAACCCAGCTTTGAACTGTGTGGATCATTTTTAGTCAGATTTTTTTCAATAAATATAGTAAGCTTATTTTCTCTTCCTTAATTTTCTTAACATTTTGTTTTCTCTAGCTTACTTTAAGAATACAGTATGTAATACATATAACATACAAAATATATGTTCATCAGCTGTGATCAGTAAGACTTCCAGTCAACAGCAGGCTAGTACTAGTTTTGGGGGCGAGGAAAAAGTTTTCTGCAGATTTTTGACTGAACAGAGGGGTCAGCCCCTGTAACCCCCACCTTGTTCAAGGATCAACTATAGTTTGCACTCTTTATTCCGGTTGTTGGGAAAACAGCACCATTTAATGCTCATTAATGATTAAGAACATTTACCTCATCCCACAAGACAGCGCCATAGTTTTCCAACAGACACTCCACTATTCTGAAATCTGTAGTCCCAGCTGCCTCTGGGTGATAAGGTATGTGACCCCACAGTCATATTTCTTTTTCTGTGAAATGAGTTCTTAATTTGGGGGCAATATTCCTTAAGATCTCACGTGTTCCAGTAAATCTGTGGATGGAGGTGGTGTTGCCAGAGGCATGGTAGGCAAATTCAGGTAAATATTGTGAGAGCCATCTGCCTTGCTGCCATCCAACACTATATCCATAGGCCTGCTGGGTCAGCACTGGGGTAGTGAGGGAAAGGGCTAACGCCTCATGGGATTTTAGTAGTGCCATCTGGTAAACATATGCATTGAGCATAAATACTTCCTTTTTCTAGTTACCCACTACCCAGGGTTTTGCTTAGATCCTGATGTCTGGTGGAATAGATACTATAATATCTTGCTTGAAGGTATTTTATCACTAAAATCAAGAATCCCATTTTTAAGTCAGTCCCTTCCAGTCTGGGATATATACTTTTGGAAAGCAGTTCTAAAAAATTCCAGTGCTTTTCTCACCAATATACCCTTCCTGCAAGGCACAGGTTGTAGATCCCATCAGGGACATGGTGAAGATGTCAACAGTAGGGTTGAGCCTGTTGGATCCTGTGAAACTGATCTCTATTTTGTGCCAGGCCCTTCCTGTCTTTTCATTGTTACCTACCTAAATCCAGCCAGCATTTAATCCTGGTTTCCAGTGGCCAGTTTCCAGAGCTGTTACCCTAATTTCAGTTTAATTGACCATACCACAACCAGAAATTTGGCCTTAATTATATTCTGGCCAAATTTTGGCCAAAAATTATACTCTGTCGTCTTTGGTCACTATCCCCCAAATCTGTATCAATAACTGTTCTGAAATTTTTGATGATCTAACCCAGTGAATTCCTAAAGTTTCCTTTAGGTGTTAGAGCTTTGCTTTTCTGTCTTGTATCTTATTCTATAGGTCTTGATAATCCATGAGCTATGATAGCTGGGTTGTGGGACAGTTTTTACACTGAAAGCAAGCTGTGGTAGAGGACATAATAGAGATTTTTGGACATTGACTTCTGAAATCCCTGTTTCTTTCAGCATCCTGTCTGTCGTCTCACTTAAAGCCCTGTCTTTCACATGAGCAACTCAGGAAAGATGTGAATTCCATTGACATTAAAATTCAGCAACCAACAAAATTCATAAGTCTTAAGATTTGGTTTATCAGAATACATAGCACATAGAAAGATCGTGAGTCTTTTGCTGTCTTTTAGAGATGAACATTTGATACTGGAACTAGACTTTTTCTTGTTATCTAGTGTTGTCAGAAGTAATCCTCCTTGGTTTCAACACTTCCTGTCACCTTTTAATTAAAACTCCCCCACCTCTTTACCACCAGCTAGAACACATCCCAGGTGATAGCAAACAATAACTCAGTAAACTGCTAAGCAGTTGTGAACAATGAGCAGCCTGCTTTTTCACATTCCAGGAATTGGTTGACAGTTCCTTTCCCTTCATCTGAACCAAATGATCAGAGTCACATCACTTATATTTCCCCCCAAGAGTTTTTCAGGAATCACTCTCACTGATATTAAATGCTAAGTCAGTTAATATTTAAGCTCCTTCATTTAAAAACAAGAGAAGTCAATTCAATTAAGCAAAAATCAATAACAAGACCCTCATTTGTGAATACAGTGGGGGTGCTGGCAAAATGAAAAAAAATGAGTTAGACTACCAAGCCTTGGGCAGGACAGGCTTTTTTCAGTGACTCTCGATCCCTCTAGGGACCCCCAGCTTCTTTCCAGGTTTTAAAATCCTGGGAGAGGGAATCTGATTGGCACAGTGTGAGTCAGGTATAACTGTGCTTGAGATCAATTAACCTTGGGAAGAAAGAAGAGGAATAATAACCAATTTGTGTCGGTCATGAAAAAAAATTCTTGTAATTATGGGATGGAGAAGACCTTTCTAAGCAAAACACAAGGTTCAGAAGCAAGATGGGGGGTAGATTGAAAGATAATATATTAAAATGTTAACTGTCTCACACTACAGTGGGGGGTGGGAGGAGGAGAAGAGGGATTAGGGTCAGAAAAAGGGGGTGGGAATTATATGGGGAGTATAACCAAAATGAAAATGCATACATTATGCAAAAATGATATAAGAATTATGTAAAATAAAATAATTCAAAAAAATAAAGACATGATTCCAATGGCAAAAAAAAAAAAATGTTAACTGTCTTTATGATGAATGATGCCATAAGGAAAGTGGCCAATTGGGAGAAACTATTTGCCACAGGCAGCTAGAGGATTTCCCATAATACAGAGAGAACTTCTAACCTGTGAGAAAAAAGTATTGCAATAGAAAAATTGGTAGTTTGCAGCAGAAAAATAAATGATTTTATAAACATGAAAAAATAAATACTGGCTGGTGTCACTAATATGTGGACTATAGAGAAACTAAGAATCAGATAAGACTAGCATAAAAATTAATCCATGAAAGCTGACTACAGAATGAAAGCACTCAGAGTGGGGAGGGTTAAGAGCAAAGAGGGAAGGAAGCACAATGAACGATGATGATGGACTATGAGTGATTTGGTGGTAGGTGCACTATGGCGGCTATA